ATAAATATAGAAATTATCTATATAAGATAACATATTTAATTCACAAACAATTGGAATGGACTCACCAACAAAGTTAACTGCAAATTTGATTTTGGTCCTTCTCAATGCGTAAGTCAAGCATAAGCTGATGTTAAATATGTTATTTAGGCTTCCAATTCTAGAATTGGAAAGAGATAATGAATAAGTTGAACCTCGATTAAGAGTTAATCCGTGAGTTGTGAAACTGGGCCTTACACATCAACAATCAGGAGACTCATATAGGCACTTTACTTATATCTGATTTATTGTTCATTACGTCACATTTGATATTTAATGAAGTCTGCTCACTTTATTGTAATATAAATACTATGTATTTTACATGTGTCCAACACCTTTCATGTAACTTTATAATTAGTTATATGTATTTTTTATGACTCTTTTTTTAAAAGTCTATTTATTCTACAATTTTTTAAATGCACCTCATGTTTGTAATTTCTTAATTTTTCCATTATAACTTTCTATTATAATTTTTAATTTGACTAAAGAAGACTTAAGTTAAGTCAAAACGTCTCTACATTGTTTGTTGAAAAATTATAAATATTAATACCCTTTCTCAGAGGACAGTTTTATCCAGATTTTTTATGATCTTTTAATAAATTAAATTTTTTAATAAATTAGTTCGTATTTTGTGATCTAATTATAATATTTGTTTATAGCTGACTTTTCTATTACTTTTCATTCTTAGAATTACAAAAGTATTTTTACCTCAAAGGTAGATATTCGTTACGCTGCTCGAGTTGAATGTCGAGGTCAAGTAACGTAAGAAGTATCATTCGCGATTTCTGCGCGGCATGTTCTTGAACACCACGAACAATGATCTCGAGCGAACTATCGTGGCGCTTTCGGTATCAAGGCTGTTTTTATAATCGGTAGCAAGCGGAGGGGAATCAGACGTAACAATAGTCGAACGTACCCGTTACCTGCAACAAAAACTGTATTCCAGCACCGTACAATCGCATTCAGTTGTTACTATAAGACGGTACAAGATATCTTGAATTTCAGGTCTGCCGGACGGCGATCCGCAGCTGCGGGTCGAGAAGATGCAATATGCGGTAGGTGATACTGTACGTGGAAACTGCACGGTACCGTCGGGAAATCCTCCGGCTAACGTGACGTGGACTGTCAACGGCATATCGGTAGGTTGATGAATGTGGAAAGCGTCGATGAATCCACCTCAATTTTTCTCACTGACTCATGACAAACTACATAAATATTAATGCAGCCCGTGTCTTGTTTTCAGATAACACTGTTGCCACAAAATTTTTCCGCAGATCCTATGTCGACCGAATGACAGTTCAATTTTTGTCTTCCTTCAAATTTTATTAAACAAACAATTATCTTTGACTATTTTGTCGTTTAGAAAGAGTTTTCATCATATAAAATCATATTTCGATAAATACACATTTTTCTTAAATTTTTTTAAAAATCGTATCGAATTTTTGCGATAAAATTAATCAATTTTTAATTTACAAGAGTATAACTGCCAAACGTAGAATGAAAGGTAAAATGAAAAAACTCAAAAGCTCCGAACTCATTTCAGTTATTTGGCATTTTAATATTTTGGGATAAAAAATATTGTTTTATATTTAACTCTATATAGCTTACATTTCATGTAGATCAATTCGCCAAATGTAACAGCAACAATGATTTTATTTTAAAGTATACTATTACATTGTTTATTTGATATAGCGTTTCACTTTATAGTCTATTGTTTTTTTTTCCATGCTTGCTTGCCATTAGTGACAATACTGTCAATTTGAAAGATTCTTCATGTCTGATTCTAACTTGTTTATTCTACTGACTTCAACTTTGCGTTTACAAACATGTTTAACATGAAACATCCATAATAGCTATTATATATTTTTAAACGTTTCTGCACGATGTGTAAAAATATTTTGCATTAAAGTTCTATATTATCAGAGATTCTATGATAACTTTCTATCATATATGATTTTTCATTTAATGGGAGGAAGAAATTAAATTATTTTTAAAACTGACGTTAACGTACAATATTGTTATATTTTCTCAGCATAAATTATCTTTCCGTTTACAATATGTTCTGCAAATTTCTGTGATAATTGCACAACAAATTTGCATTCATCTTAACTTCTCTATTTAACTTTGCAATGGTCATTTGAATGTTCAATTTCTAAAGGTTTCTATTTCAGGATAAACGTAAACGACACTATCAAAATAATTTCCTTCGTTCTTATCCGTTATCTATATTTATTAAAAAAAAAGAAGATATGTATAAATAGCATCTTTTAAGTTGAAGCATATAAATTATAACATCATTATGACATAATTATGTACTATTTAAGTACCAACGACTTAAGAGCTGAACACTTTCCCTATTTTTTGCTTCGTGTGCATGTGGAAATTTAATAGCTCTCGGAAAGCAACGGGAGAATCCCACCTTTCCATTAAAGAAAATTGCTTATACGTGATCGACTGCATTAAGCGTAAATGCAACGTCGCGGACGATCTTCGCGACGAGCACAGCTTGTCAGCTTAAGGGTCTCGAAGGAGCAGCGCTTGTTCTCGTGCGTACATATAGCCTGGGAGGCGCACGAGATGCGTGGAAATCATGGACACAACAGGAAACGCGACATCAATTCATGACGACGCCATATAGGCGATATCGTGAACTCGAGAAAATCGGTAAAATCATACACATACGCAATCGTCTGCGAACGCACGAGACGTTCCCGTTATGCTCGCGGATATACAGAGGCGATTCAGGAAATTATAAAGACCCCTCTCTCTCTCACTGATCCTCTTCCAGTGTCGGCGTACTCTGAACAACCTCCATTTAATCCGGAACTCTCACTTCGGTATAGCGAGCCCGTAATCTGGGACGTTTTACGAGCATCCTAAGAATCCGATAAACATCATAGTTATAGCTGTATGCGCCGCAAATCATTTATGGCTACCGAAGGAGGCGTGTTACTGCGTAAACGAGTGGCAGGAAGCAGTAAGGATGAACTGGTACCCCAGTCATCGTCCCATCGTGTTCCTCCACAGGTTCTATCCGCTGTTAATATGTCGAAGTGACTTGCCTAATTATCTATCTGTATTTTCCCGGTTAATTAATTCTTTATGGTATCACCCGTCTTAATGACTTATCGGTAAGACTATAAACGTTTCGAAAATTGAAATAGCGTTATCTATTATTGGATGATTATATTTCGCATGGCGTAACAAGAAAAACCGGGGGACTTCCTCGAGCACACGAGGGAATTCCTCTGAAATAATTGTTAATTTACTTGCAATAAGTACGCAGCTTAATTGCACAGTGGCTAGGTCGTAAAGTGTACCAGCCCTCGACGTAGATCGCATAAAGCTAATTGATTTTAGAGACTCATAAATCATCGTGCCCTTTTAAAACGCTTTTGCTCTGCTCGAAGAGGGCGGCATATCACCGCCACGTTTCGTTCATAATTGACGAGCGTATGAAAATCGACAGTTTTATGATCTTTGTGTTCGAGGTATTTTATGCGCCATTTAGCGAAAATTTTCAACTAGATTTTGTATACATGAAGAACTACCATTTTGTGTCATCAATTATTTTTGCGAGCATTTATTCAGAATTTTGACAAAATTAAAAAAGAAAATCAAGGAATGTAGAAATAAGATTTCAAAATTATTCATTGCTATATAGTACTTTTTTTTTCGTTGCAGGTGAACTCAAGTTTCATCATGAATATCACTCAGAAAGTTAATGACAGTCAACAGCACAGTCAACAGCACATAACAATTGCTGGATTGGACTTCGAGACGATGCAGGATAGTTACAGCAACGGCAAACTAAAGATCGTGTGTCATGCCAATGTCTTTCATTTATATAAAAAAATGGCTGAGGTATCTCTGAAGGAAGAACGTCCAAGATTGGCTTCCGTATTAGGAACACGGGAATCCTCTTACGGTGGTACGAGTGTGTGTTATGCCTTACATTTTTATTTTATCTTACAAAAGTAAATAAATTGAAAAAGTAAGTTTGTGGGAAAAATTATTCTTTGTAGAAGAAAAGTTCGTGGAAAAGCTTATTCTTTGTGGAAGAAAAGTTTAATATTCCTCAACGTAACTAATTTAAAATCAAATTCGAACTATCATGACGTTATGATAAACTTTTCCCGTTTAAATAAGATCTTCTATATAAGACGTATCATGGTCTTCCGATATATTTATATTATTTGTTTTCTATTATAGGTAGCGCAGCCAAGAGCGCCGCAGAATACTTCTGCATCACTGTCGTGACTGCACTGTTGCTATGCAGCCTGAGATAACATCAATGAGTTTACAATACGTTTTACGCGCATGATTGTATCGGGATGAAGGGAGTAAATCGTTTGTAAAATTTTGAAATTACTAAATGGGATAAAACCTGGGAAAGATGAAATCTTTTTTTGTTGAAATAAATACTAAGCGTATGTTATTCGTGTAAATAGGATAAAGGAAAAGATTTAGTGAATTATCTACGTGTACGCGATCTATATCCGCCCCGCGCGGGTAGATTTGTAATCATGATAAATAACATGTCGTATTATTATGTAATAGATCGACAAGATGTCGCGCCAAACTACCGACGACTTATTTGAATATTGTACCGTCTTTTCTATCCTCTGATAATGATTTTGATACCTCCTCTGTAACATTGTGGCAATCGCAATGTGTCCTGTCATGGTTATAGGTAAACATTGTTATTGTTCATAAACAACATTTTATTTCAATGAAATATAAATAAACGATTCACCTTCGTTATTTTAATCTTTAGAATTAATCCTAACCTTCTTTTTAGCGTCTTATTTTTAATCTAAATATTTAGTAAATTAATAAATTTATTAATAGTTCATTAATAAATTATTACTTCAATCTTATGTAATTGTTATAGTTGTAAGAAAAATGCTTAGTGAAGAATATGTTTTAAATTCCTAACGAGTATGTATAAATATGTATTTCTCTGTACAAAAATTTATTGTGTATCGATTTATTGAATAGCAAAGTCGAATAAATGAAATACGACAGGGTGATATCACAAAACTTATATGCCTTGATTGTACTTAATAAAACCATCTTATTGCTATTATATAGAATCATTGCATTTGTATGTAGTACCTCAAAGCAATTGAATTTAATCAAGATTAGATGCAGACGATAACGAATAATTCATGAGAAACAAAATAAAATTATTAACTTGAAATCTATTGTTTTCCACGTGCATCCCAGTTTGAAGGCTGAATTCTCGCTTCTATTATATCCATCGTGGCTTCTCTCAGTTTAGTCCTTTCGATTCCAACTTGCTGAATCTTTTCCATTTGTTCGGTAACATACTCTACTTTCCTTTTGAAGTAGTCCTTTGCATCCTCGATCCTTTTTTCCGCATAGTAACCAGTACCAATATCAACAATCACATTATTTGCATCTGCTAGTTTCCCAGTCACATACATAGAACCTGTCAATGGCACCAATATTTCACTGCCTGTAAAACATATAAAACATATATAAAGAATGATCAATTATAATTATTCAAATCATTAATGCTGCATGAACAAAAACTATTTATTTATTCGATATAAATTTACTAAAGCTTATAAGATTTACAAATTAAAGAGACTATATTTGCAAGCAATAAAAAATGACTTAAAGGAAATAAAGTTTGATCTACAATATGCTCTTTGCTTTTTATTGCTTCCCTTTTTTCTCTTTTTATGATCGTTTTTATTATCGACAATCGTGTTTCTAGTCTTTTTCAAAATTCGTTAACTTTTCTCATGGGTGATAAAAAATAAAAAAACAGCAGGAAAAGGTAAAAAATGATAAAATGCAAAAAACAGAAAGCAAAGAATACATTTATCAATTAGGCTTAATAGAAATGAAATTATAGCAATAGAAAACTCCCTTCAATCATATCACTCTGTCTTTCGGAATTCGGAGCAGTATTTAAGCTTGCACTTACATTTCTTAACCGCGTTTCCTAACCTCAAAGAGGAACCTCATCGCAAAGTCACGAAACTATGTACGTGCGCTTCGGAAAGCGAAATTTGCATGACTCACCCTCAGTGTCCGACGTAATCTTCTCGAGGCAAGAGCCCGATTCCTGAAATCTGCTCTGCGCAATCTTTAATGTGTGCAAAGAGTCTTGGAACACTCCGAGTTCTTGGTCCAATTGCTGCTTGAACATCGTCAGCTGTTGGAGATTTAAATTCGGCAAGGTGGCCAAATTGATCACCTGCGATTGCGGCGACGACTTCACGGAGGTCTCCTGCGACATCCTGACGCGAAATCGTTCCCGGGATGGGAGACTTGTTCTCAAGATATTTTACGTTGATCCACAGACCGTGCCGAACTTTCCGATGTCACCAAACACGGGCAACGACAAACCGGACTAACCGCCTCCGCTCGTCGATCTCAACTTGTCGAAACGGATACCAAGCGGCACCACAATGCAAGCGTGACGAGCCCGTCATCTCGTGAAGAGGCCAGACATCATCAGGTAACGGAAAGTGAGTATTTGCGAATATTTTTCGAATTATTATTCAAATATTATCTCGTATCCGTCATTATTCCTTACATTAGTTGTTTACTTATGATATTACACGTAAAATGAATAAATAAATATAAATTGCGATTATTCTATTGTCGATATCATTACCTTTCGTGGAACGATAATCAAATGATTATCAACAGTGGTATTTGAGTCTGTCGATATATCCATTTACCTTTCGCGATTTGACTTAACTGGTAACGTTATTATGTTTGAACGTTTCAAACATAATAAGACCGTGAATATTATATTAATAATATAGACAAATTACACAATATTTTAAACAAAAAATAGACGCATTGTGGGTTTTTGTTACTTTTAAATCGTTTAATTCTGCAGTCATTTACGTCTTGTTCCGCATTCTTAATCCGCATTATTATTTCATTATATAATGAAATAATAATTAGATATATCTAATCAGAAACAAATTAATACATACGCTACAGAATCATAGACATATAGAATACAGAAATTATAAATTACTATTTTATTTCATTTTTTTTTTTTTGGTATCATATTTTGGTATCATATTTTTTAACTTGGTGCTTAGAATTTAACAAAACTTACATTACATTGTGAATTTGAATATAATTTACCTATTACTTTTTGATAAAAAATGCAGAAAGACGTGAATGATGAAATTTATAGCAATTTACAATTAAAAAATAGCAGCAAGGCATCAATCTGTTATTAAAAATATTGTGTGCACTACACGGATTTTATGTAATATAAAGTTATTATAAATTAATAATCACTCATTGTAACACAATTGAACTAAAATTATAAGATGTTCATAAGCTGTGTGGATGCGTAACAAATCTAATTGTAAGAAATAAAGCCGTCAAAAACCGTACAATAAAGCCTATTCATCGGAGAATATTAAAAATGTAAAAAATTTAAGAATATATTCAATATTATTAAGAATCTTTATTTTAGACCAGATATGTGAGAAACGCAATCAATATTAGAAATTTAAAATGCCTATTACGGTCGAAGCTGGATCTTGATTGCTTTAAATAATTCAATCTTGAATTACAAATATATATACTATATATGTATGTACTTGCATATATACCATATTGTAGTTTTTTGAAACTGCGTGCTGAATTGTTTTTCCGGACTATAAATGCAATTAAAATTACTCTAGTAATTGCAAATTAAATTGACAAGCAATTAATTTGATGCTACTATCAAACATCATATTATAAAGATGTTAATATGTTGAAATTGTTAATAAATTTATTGCGAAAAATATTATCTCGGCCGGGACTTGAATCATACAGAAAGACTACAATATGATATATATGTAAGTACATATATAGTGTATATTAATAATTCAAGATTGAATTATTTAAAGCAATAAAGATCCAGCTTTGACCGTAATAGGCATTTTAAATTTCTAGTACTGATTAATCATTATTTAACCGACTGTCGAAATGACAAGACACATATTGTTCTCGCAGTTATTATTTTAAAATTTGACGATAATTTTTAACATATTAACGAGTTACAAAATATTGCATAAGAGAGATTTATTATTCAGTGTAGAAACGTCGACTGCGTGAGAGGTGAGGTGATTATTAATTTTCAAATTATACATACGATAATTTAATTATTTATATAATTTCCCCTTGAGTTCTCATTGCCACTCAGCTTTCTAACTTTGTGAGTATGTGACTTACCTCACAACAGTTACCCCCTTGAGTTCTCATTGCCACTCAGCTTTCTAACTTTGTGAGTATGTGACTTACCTCACACAGTTAACGGTTCAATTTTGAGAGGAAAAGCGTTGGAGATATTATTTTGTTATGCAATACTCCAACCGTTGCGCTAGGGGAAAAGATTGCTGATGAACCATGAATAGAAACGTTCAAAGTGAAGGTTTATATTTTTAGTATTAAGAAGAATTGCGCTAATTGATAACCAGCGTTGACTCCTATTGCCTGTACTGTATGTTATATGTTTTTTCTAAATTGTTTTAATTTAAGGAGTCTATAAAAACTTATTAGTTTTTTTGTTAATTTGTAATTTTTCATAGTATTGATTAACCCTTACCGTACTAATATGGGTAACTAGTGATTGAGCGATTCCTGTTCGTGCAAGTTTCTTTGAGTCTTTCGGTAATTATAAATTATACTACATTTTATTATTTTCCAAAATAAAGAGTCAATATTTATTCTAGAAAGTTGAAAGTATGTTGGTGAATTTTTAGAATATTTTGAAGAGGTGAAAAAATGAAGAGATTTGAAGACCCTTGATGGTATGGATGAGGCACCAAATTGTAGATGGTATGATAAGGGTTAAGAATATATTATTTTACTTACTTCGTAATATACGTTAATATTTTAACGGTTGACGCGTGGCCTTGGGAGGATTGTGGTTAGTTTTGACGGGGCGCGGCAGGGAGCGAGCGGCGCGTCATGATTACGTACGCGCTTATTGTTAATTACCGCGCAGTCATCCATTATCGAGGTTCGTACGGTCAGGTAGCCGTGCCATTTTTCTTCACGTTTCTCTTTAATAAAACGTACTTCCGACAAATACTACACTGTTAAAAAAGACATAAAATTTAATCTACTTTTAAGTTACAAAAATTAAATTAAATTTTATGACTATACACGTGTAATGGAAGTAAATTCCAAGCAGGCACATTAAAAATATTTAATGTGATGTCAATGAAAGTGAAGTTACAAATAACTTAAATTTAACGTTTACTTACATTAAATTTTATACAAATTTACATAAAATTTAATTAAAAAATGTACTAAACTTCGGAAAATTTTATGAAACATACACTACATTTCATGTACATGTACACAAATATACTTTTCAGTTACAGATACATAAAATTTAATGTAGTCATAAAATTTAATTTAATTTTTATAATTTAAAAGTACATTAAATTTTATGTCTTTTTTCTAAGTGTAGATAATACTGAACGTCGTACTTTAGATTCTACAAACTTACTTAAAATATTAAGTAAGAAATAAGTCAGAAAAAGTTTTTTAAAATATAATAAATATTAAATAAATACTTAATTTTTTTTGTAATTTGAAGTACGTATTTTGAAAAAATTGTTTTTAATACGACCGATCCCTGACTGATACGACTTATTTAAAAAATACATATAAAATAAGTTTCGAATACTTATAAAATGTAATTAAGAAATAAGTCAGAAGAAGTTATTTAAAATAATAAATTCTAAATAACTCTTCTATCTTTTTTATTTAAAATATACATTTTAAATAATTTTACTTTGTAAATACAACTGAGCCCTGCACATCAGTATATTGTTAATTAGACTTTATTTTAAGTTAAACAAAATTAATTAGTATTTCGTTGCGAAATTAATGAAATAATTTCTTATATTGATTTTCTCAGAACTCAGCAGTTTAGTTTTAGCGGCGCGAATCGTTTGATGTGATTACCGTAATTACATCGTGATTCATCGAAGAATATATTTGACATTTATTTTATAATTTTAAATATTTCATATCAACTAATATGCTGACAAAAGGCAAGAGGTAACAAATGGTTTTTTATTACATAATTACTCACGAAAAGTGTTTTTGACATCCCAAAATTATATCTCAATTTTGATTTACTCTTTGATTTACAGTTAAATAAAGATTAATAATAAGTTATACATCCTTTAAATAAAGATAAATGCAAAAATTTATTTTAAATTATTAACAATTTGGACTACATTTATAGAGATATATAATTTAAATATACCTGTTACTTTTTCCAGAATAAGAATGCGAAATAAGATGTGAATGACAGAATTAAATGATTCAAACGTGACAAAAAAATCACAATTTTTTGTTAAAAATATTGCATACATTGCACAGATTTTTGTGTAACAAAAAGTTATTACAAATTAATAATTATTTATTGTAACGCAATTTAAAATGTCTAAGTATAGATAAGATGTGCGTGTAAGAAGTAAAGCACAAATCGTGCAAAGCCTATTCGTCGGAAAATATATAAAATGTAATGAACAGATCATTTTATCTATTTTATAATATGCGTTAATATTTCGACAGTTAGATGATCGGTGTGCGACTTTCGGGTTTGTTTTAGCACGGTCGGGCGGGCAGACGGCGTGTCATGTTTACGCGTAGTTACCGCGCAGTTATTCCATTATCGAGGCTGGTACAGGCAGGTAGTCGTGTCGCGTGTCGCTCTTCTTTACATTTCTTTTTGAAACATAATTACGAAAAATGTTAGATATGGTACGAAATGTTGTACTTTATGAATATTCATAGTATATAATTAACTCGCACGATTAATTATTCGTAAAAGGATCGAGATGACAATCATGAATCACGGACCAGATATTTCGTATGATTCATTCATTCATTTAAAATCAAAATGCGATGGAAAACAGAAGTTATTACTATTTCGCGACAATTATTTTTGTTTAACGTAACATTTTTCTCTTGTTTGAGTAATAACTCTCGATTATACTTCGAACGGTATCACACAAGTCATTAAAAAGTAACGCTAATAAATACTCTCATGCAAATAACGCAATTTATGCGATTTCTACTTTCACAATTAATACAGTTTGTGTAATTAATAATTTAATTAATTTTTCGTTTTCGTGAATCTCTCATGATACGATAAAAAATTGAATGTAATTTTGAAACTATTTATCGGTAATAAAAGAAATATTTCTCTTTTTTTATTAATCTCTAAGCTCATTCCATTGGCTCTAATTATATTTTATAGACATCGTAATAAGAGATTCAGCCCTTTTATCTGCTCTGAATTTATTTCGCAATGGTGGCGAATTGATATTTTTGATATTTATTTCTAAAAGTCATTGCATATAGTAATGTAGATAATAGCTACATATTACATTTTTCAGAT